GATTGACAGATGACCGTTGATTGGCCAAATTTAGGTGTACAAGCTGACGTATAACTAATTGGCCTGCATAAGATAATGGGGAAAAAAACAGATTTTAAGACAGAATTTTGTATAACAATAGAAATTTTCTAAATTTTGCGAAAATATCTTCTGATAAAGAGTACATGTTTAAGCCAGGAAGATTTGACATTTCAATATGATTTCCCTACGACTTGAAAAATTATTGTAGATACATAGCCTCAGTGTGAAGGTACAATAAAACCTGTTAAAGGGCACTATGTGCAACACATTTGAAAAGTTAAAGGTTCCTAAAATTCTAAATATTATCAAAGTAAAGTACTTTTACCGAAACCATGTGCAATATCAATGTGGCAAATTTGTACTAAATCTTTTTTCCTATCTGTCATCTGTATTTCTTAACTAAAGGATAAGACATGTGTTTATCAGAGAAGTAAAGAAGGAGTCCTCCTTTGTTAATTTAAAAATTTCACCATTATGGCTTGGTCTGCAGCTGAATGGGCTACACCCTAACTCAGAGACCCAAAGTCATGCTCACAACTTAGATATCTTTGATTCAGAATTACTTTATCTGTTTGTTTACAGTAACTGCTGCTTTCTGCTGAATTGTCTGAATAAGAAAGACAGTGGTGTGTCTCTGCATGGATGGGTGGGATCATTGTTTAGTACCAGAGGAACTAACGAAACAACGAGGGTTGAAGAACTAAAGGCTTTCTTCCATAAAGACTGAATCCTAAACGCACAAAAGAACACTACTTCAGATCCTTCCCCCCAACAAACTGAATAAAGGGGAACAGCCATGCTGTTATATTTAGCTTCTAGATCAGTTTTCAGTTCTGTGATTGTTTTTTTCCCCCTTTTTCTCAAGCAAAGCAAATTGTAAACAATAAGGTTTCTTTGGGTGGCTATATGTGATTACATAAAGTTTTATGGTTCTTATTGTCTGATTTTGTAACTGAAAAAACAGTTTTGCCACTGTCTAATGACAATAAAGGATATTAAAAAATATATATATAGTTATTACTGATAAACTTCAAGTGACACAGTGTAACGTATACTCTAACAGCTATAAAACCAATCAAACACCTTCTGGACTTTCTGCAGTGATTGATTAACTGCTGCTAACACCCGTTCAAACAGATCTGTCTGAAGCTAATGGCTGTTGTGAACCGTGGCGACGTTCCTGTGGAACAAGTTGACGAAAATAGAGAATCGTTTCCTGTTGTCATTCCGGGCCCAACAGGCCAGAGTCCAACCTCACCTGCTTTAGATCCAACTGAAGCTAACGTTAGCAGGTAGCTAGCAAGCAGCTGGCCCGAACTTTAGCAGCTAACAGGCCTCAGATATGAGCCTCTCCAGGTGCTCAGCCTGCGTGTGTTCATCATTTAGCCTGAGTATTGTAGATTCGGTTCAGTTAAAGAGGTCACACAGTTGTGGGCTATATAAGTTAACAAAGCAAAACTGACAGAGAATAAACCCGCCTGAACTGACTGGATGTGCGCATGCGTCGTCTCCCTCTCCTTCTCTTCTTCTTCGTTGGTTCATTAGCACTTCTGGGCCCAGAGCTGACCTCTAGAGGTAACCGGAGTCAGTTCAAACAGTGGAAAATTATCGAAGTAAATTACTACTAGTGTGATGAACTGAGGGTTCCCAGGATGTCCAACCAATAGATTTATGACAGAAAGTGATTAAAATTCTTCAAAGAAAAGTAATTAAGAATTTATGATTTAAAGCTACAACTGTAAGACGGAATATTAGGGCCAGGCTAGAGAGTTTCTTTTTGCTTTTTACTGCGAGAATAAAGTCATTAAATAACGAGAATAAAGTCCTAACATTATGAGAATAAAGTGGTAAAATTACAAGAAAAAAGTCGCAACGAGAATAGTCATCGAATGACGATAATAATTCATAAAATTACAAGAATAAAGTAGTAATATTAAGAGAATAAATTACGAAAAACAAGTTGTATTTCATGACGTCTAAGTGTCTTAAAGGGGGGTCGTTAAAGGGAATTGTTGGCCTGGCTGAATAGGCGAGGTCCTTCACTCTTCTGAACATATTACTCGCCAATTCAACCAGGCCAACAATTCTCTTCAACGACCCCCTTTCAGAGACATAGACAGGCATGAGGCATTGCAGGCAAACAAAGTAAACCAAACAACCCCATTCCAAAGGGGTGGACCCCTTTGTCTGTTTCAATTTGCATGTTTTCAAAACAAGGTTTTGTAGGGCTAATGTATAAAACCTCGAACTCAACGCTATTCCTGACACTTTGAATTGAAAAAGCTTCCTGGATGGGAAACGAAACGTCTTAAACCTGGAGACAAATTCCAGATGATTGTCTTTAATTTTCTTTTTTGGAATGACTATGACCTGGATGACTGAGAATCTTCACCAGCGTAAAGTCCTCACTGCACTGGATTGCATAAACAGTGCCACTAAGCTTAGGGTTGGTTGTTCTGTGTTTAGGATGAACTAGTTTTTGTCTGATTGTGTTGTTAGGTTTCAAATTCACCTATAGAGACAGAACAATTAAATCTAAGATGGGTGGTGCTGTTTATGCAATCCAGTGCAGTGAGGACTGTACAGCCTCCTACATTAGAGAAACCTTAGAACAATTATAACAAACATGGCACAGCATAGCAGAGCCAGCAGCTCTGGGCATGGTTCAGCTGTACATTTGCACCTCAAAATCAAAGGACACACCTTTGAAAATCAAAGTGTTCAGATTTTGGACAGGGAGGACATGTGGCTTGAAAGAGGCATCTCTTGAAGGCATCTTCGTGAAAAGAAAAAAGGCTTCACCGAGCAGAGGGGGAGGATTGCAGTTTCCGCTTCCAAGCATTTACAATAAAGACATGCAACGTTCCCAAGAAATAAGCCCTCCCATTATGATTCAAAAGACCAATGACAGAGCCCATGCACAACAAAAGGCTCCTACAATCCAGTATAACAAGGCGTGGCTATTTGAAAAGGATGGCCCTCCATGCTGCTTAAATACATCAGCACTTCAACTACACCAAGAATCAGTTGAAATTCTGAGATCAGTCTGACTTTCACTGTACAGGGCAGGGCCATATGTAACCTGGCTGACTGTTGAAATGGACGACTTATGTGTTACATTAACACCGCTCATTTTACTGTGTAGAGCTGCGGTCATGAATTAGTGGATCGGGACCAAACCTAATTTCAAACATTTATAAATTACCGCATGTTGTCCAACGACAGTGTCTAACTTCACTTGCGCTGCTTCTCCTGTTTTTAAAGCTACAGTGTGTAATTTTCAGCGACCTCTAACGTCCAGACTGCAGACCGCAGCAACATGAACATCTCCCCCCACCGCTTCTCCCCCCCAACAGTACGGCGAGCGTTACGGGACAAAATGTCTTCCACGACGTCCGCATCACCTACCTTCTCAAGTGATGAGG